CAAGTTGTTAACAGCTTGTTCCAAACTTGTTACAACAACTGGGAACAAGCAGTGCGAAGACAACTTGTCGACAGCTTGTGAACAGAATTGTGACAACTTGTTTGCAGACCTGTAACAACTTGTGCGTTTTTACGTATACCTAATTAGGTTAAAGACAATATATTTCTAAAGTTTGAATCATGCAAATCGTTAAAAATGTGCATAGCATGACCTGTTGCTATGACTAGCTTCGCCATTGAATTAAACTATATATTAAATTAAATCTAAGAGAAAACGTTGAAAGAACTTACAGCTTGTGTACACACGTAAAAACTGCCAGTTGTTACAAATCTGTAAACAAGTTCTAACAAGGTTGTTGTGAAGCGGATATCAGGATGTGTTCGCACTGCTTGTTCCCAGTTGTTGTGACAAGTCTGGATAAAATAACAACATTGTTACAATTTGTTGACAAGCTTGCTACAAGTCTGCTGCGAACACATCTTGTTGAGAAATTGTGACACTTTTACGTGTGTAGTCATTGTTATATGATTTTGTTTTTTGTTTTGCGCTATCCAAGTGTTTCACAAGCGATCTGTGATAAGAAGCTTCCGACCTAGTGGAAGGTTAACAATGTTTTTATTTCTCTGTAGTTTCGAACAATTTTGCATCAACTATTGCAACGAGAAACTCCAGCAACTGTTCATTGAGCTGACATTGAAATCTGAACAAGAGGAATATATGAGGGAAGGCATTGAGGTTTGTGATAATAAAAATTATAATAATAATGATTTATTTAATGTTGATTGCACCAGCCGTCAGGTTGTGCAATTCACCTGAGGCTCCCAACATTATCATGTATTCTATTAAAACATATTTGGAACACTCACGAAAGCTTTATTTTGTTCATTTAAATCTTGAAATATCCTTTGCAACAATGCGTGACTACCAACTCTCATCAACTCTTATCCTCGTTTCACCGAGGCTCAGTTAAACCCTGCTCAAACCACAATGAGAGTTGATGAGAGTTGATGAGAGTTGAGAAGTGAGAGTTTGCATGAGAGTTGATGAGAGTTGAGAAGTGAGAGTTTGCATGAGAGTTGATGAGAGTTGAGAAGCGAGAGTTTGCATGAGAGTTGATGAGAGTTGAGAAGCGAGAGTTTGCATGAGAGTTTATGAGAGTTGAGAAGCGAAAGTTTACATGAGAGTTGATGAGAGTTGAGAAACGAGAGTTTACATGAGATTTGATGAGAGTTGAGAAGCGAGAGTTTGCATGAGAGTTGATGAGAGTTGAGAAGCGAAACTTTCATCAACTTCCATAAAAAAATTTGAACCAGCTCAAAGTTGGTGAGAGTTGATGAGAGTGCATGAGAGTCGATGAACCAACCAAACTCTACTTACCCAAGTTTTCAGACACTGGGAACAAGAGTGGCATGAGAGTTAATTAGAGTTGACTGAACGTTCTGTTTAAATGAACAAAAACTCTCATCAACTCTTATCAAAAAGTTGAACCAGCTCAAACTTCATGAGTGTTCAACCTCAAAAACGACTGTTGGGTTATGGAATATAATAGTTCTTTAATCTATGTTATAAACTGGAAAAATTTCAAAGTATATTTCATTCTACCATACATTCTAACATTCTACTCTACATAATATTTACAAAACATTTCAAACATGTCCACATCACAACAGTCAAGAAGTTCTTTGATCTATGCTAAATTTGAAAACTTTCGAGATATATGTCAAAGTTCAAAAATTCTACGAAATTATATATATAATTATTTTCGACCATGTCTAAATCACGACTGCTGTAGCCAGGTATCTGTCTTCCTTCATGTCAGGAAGTTTCTGCCATGAAAATCGCTCAAAATTGAAACCTTCAACTGATTTCAAACCATTCCCTCTCTCACCCTTGCCTCCTAGTACTACAATTGTATTCTCAATAACAACTGCCATACATCCTTCCCTCTTGTGTAACATGGGAGGCAACATATGACTGTTTCCAGTCTTGATGTTATAAATTATAACATTGTTTAATGCTTTACCATCCTTGTCAGCCCCACCAATGATCACGACATTCTCAGCCCACTTGACTGTCGCCATTGCACTCACTGGATAGGGAAGCGCAGGTAACTGTTGACATTCATTCTTCTTGATGTCATAGCTTAACACACTGCTCAGGTTGTCTTTGAAGTCCAATGATTTCTTTCCCCCAACGATCAAAATACTATCATCACACAGTACTGTGCTGTGATGAAGTCTTGGTTCAGGCATATTGGATACCAGTTTAACAGTGTAAGGTGGTTTAAGTTGGACTTCATGAATACAGTTAGAATAGACACCTTGATCTGCATCATAACCTCCAGTAACCACCAAGCTATCCTTGTATACCACACTGCTGTGTGCATGCATCTTGGCAGGACGTTTGGCAGCAAAATCACTCCAGTCAATTGAGAGATCAGGGACTGGGTGAATGTTCATTCGGATCATGTTATTTACAGAAACAGTAGGACACCAACCTCCTGCTACAGTCACGTGATTATCGTAAACAAATGAAGATGCGCTGTGACGATACTCTGCCATGCTCTTTAATAAAGACCACAATCTCTGACGGTAGTTAAATATTTCTACCGAGTTTGTCCCCCAGCCACCAGCAACAAATATATGTTGATTTTCTCTCCCGCCACTCGCTGTGCCACTTACATCTCTTGTGATTTCCTCCTGCTTTCTTTCTTTGCTCTCTATCTTCTCAAGTACTGTTTCTTTCAAGTGATCAAAGCCATCTTTTACTTCATTTAAACTCCTTTTTATTCCTCTCACTTCATTATTCACTGCTTCGAGCTTCGTGTTCATGTTTTCCAGTTTCGTGTCCGTGTTTGCCATTTTCGTGCCGATATTTGCCATTTTCGTTTTTACATCTGCTACTTCCGTTTCAATATTTGCCATCTTTGTGTTTGTGTGTGCCAATTTCGTTCTCGCATCCGCCTGATTCGTGCTGATGTTTGCGATTTCCGTTTTCATTCCCGCCATCATCGTGCTGATTTCTCCACAGTTGTGACACTTCAACTTTCTAAATTGACACAGTTCACTCTCGTGATATGTACGATCTCTTTTACTGATTGTCTCACCACAACCTTGATTTCCACAAACGACTGGGGTAAACCTGCATTTGGCGAGATGTCGCTTTAAATTCTGCAGTTGTACGAGTTCTCGACATCCTCTGTCATAATGATCGCAACGAATCTTTCGTTCATTTAGGTAATCCTTCACAATTCTTGGACCATCTTGCAATGTTTCGACACTCAGTTCGTCAGCGCATGTTGGGCATGTATGGGAATTCCTACGAAGATGTTCCGTGATGCAGCCGCGGCAAAAATGGTGCTCGTTTCTGCGGCACATCACGGGGTCTTTCAATACGTTATAGCAAATTAAACAGTGGAAATTTTGGTCCACTATCGACTTGAATCTTTCGTCATCGTACCCGTGTGGATAATTTGATGCCATATTTATACTCGCTGTTTTCCTAAATTAAAAATAAAACAAATATTACTTATTTAACAATACTGATCGCTGTGTCTACAAATCTAATTGTCCAAATAGTATACCTTTATTTGCCTTCTGTAAAATATTTAGTAAACATTCTTCTCGAACGTTGAACCAAATGAACAATATTAAACGGCAGTATGTATGATCAAAATTCTGCCACGTATTCAAAGCGTCTAGAATAACAACTTGTTTTGCAAAAACACAGCACAAAATTTGCATTTTTTTTAAAGAAATCGACATGATGTCTAGCTATATGGTAGTTTTCGATTGGTTGTATGTTGTAGTGCAAAGGAATTGCTTTGTTAAAGATGTTTTCACTTCAGAATCAGTCGCGCTGTGTAGGGTTACTTGCTCGCTTAATAATTTTTTGTGCTATGAATACAAGTTACTAGAAATATCAAATAGCAAGTCATTGATATATAACATAAAAAAACATACTTTGTGAAAATAGGGCTATCTGGAAAGTTCTGGAAGGAATCTTGAAAGTCAATCACACTGTAGGGTGCCTTGTTGGCTCAATGATTCTCTGACTATGTCGATGAAACTGTATGAATACTACAGCATGAGCTCCACCTTTGAATTTACTATATGAGTAAATTCTTAAACACGTCCAAATTTATCATTATGATAAATTCGCGGCAAATTTTGAATTTATCATAATAATAAATTCGCGGCACCTAACACTAACCCTACCCCAACCCCAACCCTAACTTTTTAAACTTTTTTAAAAATCTAACTTTTTAAACTTTCCCTGCTTTTCAAAACTCTTTTAAAGGTTTTTAAAACTTTTTTAAAAACTATTTTTTTAAGAAACTTGAAAAAAATTAAAAATATTAAAAATAAAATAAATTGTTGAACTAAGCGTGCAAAAAGAAATTCAAAACGTCTTCGTTTGGACGTCAGACTTGGATGATAGATGTCATACTTGGAATGATAGATGTCACCTACTCCCATTGCGCCATCCCCCCCCTGTTATGTGACGTGCTGACGTCAGGATACCTGGTTCCCAAGTTGCTAACCTTGGTTATTGCATAACCTCATGAAATTGTTAAAAAATTTGCTACAATTGCGAATCGTGATCATTGGTATATTTAAGTTAATGACATAAGTCAGTATGTTTCGCAAATGGCAGTCTAATTATACGAAAATAGAACCATTTGGAATATACAATTACTTTATGGTTTCCGTGTTTGGATGGCTTGATCCAAACACGGGTTTCGACCAATCAGAATACGCGTTATGTACATGTTATTTTATAATGAGCCTTCATTTCAAAAGACACTGCGAGGTGTCTTGCTAGCTTAACAATTCTCAGCATCATAACATATCCATAGCAAGTCATTGATATGTAAAATTAAAAAACACATATCAAGATTGATTAGCAGTTGGACGACCTCAGTTACTTTGTGAAGTAGAGCTATCTGAGTATCTGGAAAGTCCTGGAAGGAATTTTGAAAGTCAGTCACATTGTAGGGTGCCGTGTTGGCTCAATGATTCTCTGACTATGTCGATGAGACTAATAGAAATTGCTAAATATTTTAATACAACTGCATATCGTGATCAGTGGTATACAAAAATCAATGCCAGTATGTTTCTAAAATGGCTATCAATTGTCGGCAATATGGCAGTCTTTAATATTATACGAAAATAAGGCCATTTGGAACAAGCCTTCATTTCAAAGGCAATATTATTCACACTGCGTGGTGTGTTACTGGCTTAACCATTCTCAGTATCCATAGCAACTTCTTGATATATATTCAATCACAAACACAAGTCTTGCCAAATAGATTGGCAAATGGTTGGTCTGTTTATGAAAACCAGGCAGGTCCGCTTAGCGAGACAGCCGTGACAAAATTTCACCCGCTTGCCGGGTCAATTATTTTGTTGTGATTTGACAGTTGCCAAAAATAGCATCTTTGATCATTCATCCCTGTTTTACGTCCATATAGGAAGGTTATTTCAAGTCTCAACTTCTCTGTAGACAAAAGCCTTTTTCATGTACTTTGTATTTGGCTTAGATAATGCGAAACTAAATTCTCTCTATCTCGTATTGTAATCAGGTATTTCATTCGTGTTGGTGAGAGGTTGATTAGAGTTGAGAATTAGCTAGGATTGGGTTATTGAATAGAGTTACAATTACAATTACAATAACAAGGGCCTTTGGCTTCGCTCGAAACGTCGAAATTCTCCTTATATTTTTCAGGTAGTTGCGTCCCTACCAACGAAAACTTGTTATTTATATTGGTACTACCTACACTATCACAGACAGTTCATCATTACAATTACAATACAATACAACTAGGTTAACTTGTTGCTGCGACTATGTTAAGATTGAAGTTAGAATATGTAGGACAGTGTTGTATTAAACGAGTCATGCACAGGTCAAGTCACAAGTCGAATCACTCAAAAGTCGAGTACACGCGTAAAAACGCACAAGTTGTAACAACTGAAACCTGCAGCAGACTTGTAGCAATGCTCTTCGTGTCGAGTGCTGATCGAGTCACGAGTGGATTCGAGTCATTGGTTTCACTCGAGTTGAGTTGAGTCAATGGCTTCAGTCGAGTCGATAGGCGAGCTTGAAATGAGTCGGGGAATTTGAGCAAGTCCACTCCACACTTTCTGTAATGGTTCAGTACCCTGGCTTGCAGTCTGTGAAATTAGTCATAAAATTCACCTTTAAATTAAGTCTGGTTCACACTAACCATTTTGTCGCTGATTTTTCTCATCCTGGCGGATGTAATTGAGTGAGTGACTTGCAAAAGACTTATAGAAATGTTTACTTCTGAAAAGCTGTTCTATACTTTTGTTGTGAGTTCACTCATTCGCATCCGTTAGGAAGAGAAAATCGCCGACGAAATCGCCAGTGTGTACCAGGCTTTAAGTGAATTACTTTAGTCATTTAATAACAATATCTCGACAGCTAGCCTCGACCAATATTACAAATATGATCAACACTTTATATTGAATATCTTCATTACGCTTTTAAAATCAACATCAAATTTAATGTTAGCACTCCACAGATACCAGACATTAAAAGAGCTGGTCAAAATTAGTAAGGACACAAAATTCGGAGACTGTAGTTTTGCGCGTTTGAATGCGTGTGTATATTTTCATGTCTGTCTATGTGATTATGCACATAAATCAATCAACTAATTGACCTTTAAATAATGCAATCAATGAATGTAACATTGTAGTTAATAATTAATCAAGCAATCGATATTTTTTCGGGCAACTTTTAAAACTATTTTCTCCTCGGTAGGATGAAGAATGCTTGAGTCCTGGTGATGTTTCTGACATGACATTTTTATCGAAATTAATCACGTGTATTGGCAAACATGAACATTTTGTATGGTAGGTCTGATACGCGCCTAAAATAATCTCACAGTTTATCAACAAGATGTGTTCGTATTGCTTGTTTCCAGTCTGGAATATGTTGTTATCATCTTGTAAGAAGGTTGACCAAAACTTGTTGCCCTAAGTTGTCAACAAGTTTGGAACAAACTGTTGATAACTTGGAACAATTTTGTTGACATTATCGTACTTGTTGCAAGGTTGTTTCAACAAATCCGTTACAGTCATGATATAACAATATTGTTACAAACTTGTGTTGTCAAACTTGTAACATTCTTGTCATATCATGACTGTATCAGATTTGTTAGAACAACGTCTCTACAAATCTGATAATGCCATCGAGCTTGTTCTAAGTTGTTAACAGCTTGTTCCAAACTTGTAACAACAACTGGGAACAAGCAGTGCGAACACAACTTGTCGACGGCTTGTGAACAGAATTGTGACAACAGACCTGCAACAACTTGTGTGCATTTTTACGTGTACCTAATTAGATTAAAGACAATATATTTCTAAAGTTTGAATCATGCAGATCATTAAAAATTTGCATAGCATGACCTGTTGCTGTGACTAGCTTCGCCACTGAATCAAACTATATATTAAATTAAACCTAAGGCAAAAGCGTGCTTGTGGAACAAGTTGTTATCACCTTGTTGCAAGGTTGATGACGGTGACAGACTTGTTACAATTTGTTCCAACAAGACTAGTATACAGGCTGTTCGTAACAAGTTGCAACGAGCTTGTTGTCATCAACTTGTTAACAACTTGTAACGTGTAGACGATACACTCGTAAAAACGCACAAGTTGTTACAGGTCTACAAACAAGTTGTTACAAATGTGTTCACAAGCTGTCGGCATGTTGTGTTCGCACTGCTTGTTCCCAGTTGTTTTAACAAGTTTAGAACAAGATGTTTAACAACTTGTAACAAGGTTGATTAGGCCATCAGACTCGCCAGAAGTTGTTTCAACAATTCTGATATAGTGTGCACGTGAAAGGACGTTGATGACAACAAGCTCGTAGCAACTTGTTACGAACAGCCTGCATTAGTCTTGTTGGAACAAAATGTAACAAGTTTGTTACCGTCAGCAACCTTGTAACAAGGCGATAACAACTTGTTCCAGACTTGTCACAACAACTGGGAACAAGCAGTGCGAACACATCCTGATAGTGGCTTGACAACAACCTTGTTACAATTTGTTTGCAGACCTGTAACAACTTGCACATTTTTACCAGTGTATAGGGCATAATTCGGAAATGGCTTATTGGCTACACACGTAAAAATGCACAAGTTGTTACAAACATGCAGCAGACTTGTAGCAATGCTGTTCCAACGATTTGTCAACAGGATGTGTTCGCACTACTTGTTCCCAACTTGTTGACAACTTGCTACAAGGTTGTTGAGCTCAACAGACTGTAATTCAACAATTTGTCAATTTAACCATTTGTCAACAAGTTGTGAGTGACAACCTTGTAGCAACTTGATAAAAAACAGCAGTGTTTCAACTTGTTCACAAGCTTGCTACAAGTCCGTTGCGAACAAATATTGTTGACAAGTTTGGGGTTTTTTCGTTGTGTAGTCATTATTAAATAATTTTGGTTTTTGTTTTGTGCTATCTACTGTAAGTGTTGTGTTTCACAAACGATCTGGGATAAGAAGCTTCCGACCTAGTTACAGTCAATTTCAGCTGACTTTTCATCGTAAGATTCCGAACTTCCTTCCGAACTTCACAAATTCGTTGCCAAGTTCAAAAGTTCATAATGAAATTCACAAACAGGTTTGTAAACTGGGCATTTCATTGGCTGGTTTGATTTAATACCCAATCAGAGGCTTTGTTTACAAACCTGTTTGTGAATTTCATTATGAACTTTTGAACTTCGCAACGAATTTACGAAGTTCGGAATCTTACGATGAAAAGTCAGCTGAAATTGACTGTAAAGGTTAACAATGTTTGTTTTTTCTGTAGTTTTGAACAATTTTGCATCAACTATTGCAACGAGAAACTCCAGCAACTGTTCATTGAGCTGACATTGAAATCTGAACAAGAGGAATATATGAAGGAACAAGGAAGGCATTCAGGTTTGTGATAATTAAAATTATCAGTAATAATTTATTTAATGTTGCTTGCACAAGCCGTGGTTGGCCAATTCACCTGAGGCTGCCAACACTATCATGTATTCTATTAAAACATAATTGGAACACTCACGAAAGCTTTATTTTGTTCATTTAAAGCTTGAAATATCCCCTGCAACAATGCGTGACTACCAACTCTCATCAACTCTTATCCTCGTTTGACCGAGGCTCAGTTAAACCCTGCTCAAACCACAATGAGAATTGATGAGAGTTGAGAAGCGCCCGGAGAGTTTGCATGAGAGTTGATGAGAGTTGAGATGCGAGAGTTTGCATGAGAGTTGATGAGAGTTGATGAGAGTTGAGAAGCGAGAGTTTACATGAGAGTTGATGAGAGTTGAGAAGCGAGTGTTTACATGAGAGTTGATGAGAGTTGAGAAGCGAGAGTTTGCATGACAGTTGATGAGAGTTGAGAAGCGAGAGTTTGCATGAGAGTTGATGAGAGTTGAGAAGCGAGAGTTTGCATAAGAGTTGATGAGAGTTGAGAAGCGAGAGTTTGCATGAGAGTTGATGAGAGTTGAGAAGCGAGAGTTTGCATAAGAGTTGATGAGAGTTGAGAAGCGAGAGTTTGCATGAGAGTTGATGAGAGTTGAGAAACGAGAGTTTACATGAGAGTTTGCATGAGAGTTGAGAAGCGAGAGTTTGCATGAGAGTTGATGAGAGTTGAGAAACGAGAGTTTACATGAGAGTTTGCATGAGAGTTGAGAAGCGAGAGTTTGCATGAGAGTTGATGAGAGATGAGAAACGAGAGTTTACATGAGAGTTTGCATGAGAGTTGAGAAGCGAGAGTTTGCATGAGAATTGATGAGAGTTGAGAAGTGAGAGTTTGTATGAGAGTCGAGAAGCGAGAGTTTGCATGAGAATTTATGAGAGTTGAGAAGTGAGAGTTTACATGAGAGTTGATGAGAGTTGAGAAGCGAGAGTTTGCATGACTATGAGAGTTTTCTCAACACTCGCCCGGTCACACGAGAACAAGAGTTACATGAGACATTGAGACTGGATATATTACCACGTAGCGAAAACTCTCATCAAAATTTAAATCAGCTCAAAGTTGATGAGAGTTGAATGAGTACATGAGAGTCGATGAAAATTGGCGGTTAGTTTAAAGTTCATGTACCTGTCATTTACATTATGTTATTTTTTGGATTATGTTTTTTCCTTAAAATTGAGTATCTATTATATATTCTATAAATTATCATTACTGTTTCTTTTTGTAATTTCGGCACTCAACTTTAGTTTTTAATATTTTAATTTATCTTTCATTTAAATCTTATTGTGAAATAATATCTTTCAATTAAGGCACTCCATGCCTTCGTCAACTGTCATCAATCATAATTTGCGATTTCTTTTTGCGGCTTTTGTGCATTGCCGTCTCATTTTGTACTGTACCGACCGTTAAATAAAACTCTTCAGTTTGGCGATGGACGCGCAAGCAAACATATAATGAAGCCCAGGGCCGCAGAGAGGGGGGGCTAGGGGGGCAAATTGCCCCGGGCCCCGAGGTGCTGGGGGGCCCCTGAAAAATTTTTGTTGGGCCCCAGTGTTTTTTGTGTGTTAAATATTTCCGCGCGAAGGACAAGATATCTGTTTTCTTCGGTTAAGTACCAAAATTTGGCATGAAAAAATGAGATAAAGTCCCTGGAAAGCAATTGTAACGTACTCGTCCGGAAAAATCTTTACCCCTAAAATGGTACACTGACCGAAAATTTTTTGGCGAGGGTAGATAGGGGGGCCCCCAAAAAAAATTTTGCCCCGGGCCCCTGCCAACCTCTCGGCGGCCCTGATGAAACCGCAAGGTCAAGAGGTGCGTAAAGCCATAATAGCATTCGACATGCTTATAATAGCATAAGGAGAAAGAGTATAATACTCTAATGCTAGCCTGCGTAGCATGCGGTATTTGCGGGCACAAGAGGAAGCTGCCCTTTGTCTTGTGCCCGCGTATATCGCCTGCTTATATAGTCTATATACTAAGCATAATTCATAATGCTTGTAAAGCATCAGTCTATAAGAGAAAGAGCCAAGCCTTAAAATAATAAGATAAGCATTCATATTAAGAAAGGTTAAAGAATAACAATTAAACAAAGACAGAGAAGCAGCGAAGTTTGAAAAATGTAGGTTTGAATATAAAGCTTTTTGATTGATCGATTGATTGACATCTTTATTTAAAACACGAGATCCATTTCACAAGTTAAAAACGTGATCTTCAATGGAGACGTGTACCTATGCCTATAGTAAACTAGTTTCTAATAAATAAGAATAAAAATATTTACAAGAGTTGCAGACTACTTATGCAACGAAACTAATAATACAATTATTAAGAAATTTTAGGTTTAAACTCAGCGAGAGATTGAGCTCCAGCGAGTTCGACGGGTAGTCGTTCCATTTAGGATAACCCCTCTATAAGTAAAGCTTTTCTTTAAGGATTCAGTGAATGGTCTTGGAACAAAAAAATTATGATCAGAGCCTCGCAAATTGTGTTTGTGTATAATAGAAGTTGGAGTAAATTTTCTTGACAAGTAACTAGGAACCATTTTATTAACAGTTTTGTACATAAAAGTTTTAAATTGTTGAGTTCGTCTGGTTTCAAGGTTGGTCCAATGATGTTAAGCTGATCTGGGGACCGAATGTTGTAATCGGATTCATTGCTGCATGCATATACATAATGACAACATTGCACAAAACATTTTTGGAGCAACTTTCAACTCAAAAGTTTCTGACATAGAGCCGTGTTATCTATAAAGCCTGGTCGCACTATCAAAGTCTCTGTGATCACAGTAGGAATTTTGCGTAGGTAAAGTTTTGAAGGATTTGTATGAAATGTTTTAGAGAATGGACCTTTCCCCTTATAACTAAAATTTTGATCTAGACAAGTCTAGACAAAAATTCGTTGCGAAATGTTGTAAAATGCAGATAATATAGCCCTGCGAAGTTTGCAATTTTCAGTCATTTTGTATTACAAACGCGGGAAATTGATGCCCCAACTCCCAATTGGACTGTCAATTTCCTATGCGTAATACAAAATGACTGCAAAACGGCAAATTTCGCAGGGCTATATTATCCGCATTTTACAACATTTCGCAACGAAACGGCTTTGGAATATTACTAATTTTGTGATGCTCTTTCAAGCTGTGATGAAAAATGTGTCTAGATTAAAATTTTAGTTATAAGGGGAAAGGTCCATTGTCCCAATGTTTATACCACTAAGCTTTTCCTAACTAATTCCAGTTTTTTTTTCTAACGGATCATATCGCGAAACAAGTTATCAATTCATAAAACCATAGTGTTATTCTTTAAATCGATATCAAAATACGACACACTCCTTGCCAGCTTTGTGTTAACCGAGCAGACAAAGGCAATAGAAAGGGATTGGGACTGATGTTATAGACAATATAGTCTGGGTAGGAGATTGACAATATATAGTGGCCTTAACTTATTAGGACAGATAGAGAGGGGTTAGGTTAAAACGCGGATGCGGAACGGAACGGATATGCGGAACGGAACGGATATGGGGTTAAAATGCGGAACGGAACGGATATGGGGTTAAAACGCGGAATAAAACGTTTTTTAAAAACAGACATGAAAAATCATGTCTGTTTTTAAAAAACGTTTTATTCCCGTTCCGTTCCGCATTTTAACCCCATATCCGTTCCGTTCCGCATTTTAACCCCATATCCGTTCCGCATCCGCTTCCGCGTTTTAACCTAACCCAGATAGAGAGCTATTCAGTATAAAAAGTAAATAAATGAATATTAATTGGAGAGTAAGATTGCTTAATGCTATATATAAAATTCTATTTAAACTATGATGTTATATAGTTTTTTTATCAACAGCTGGTATCAGTAAAGTCGAGAATGAAAAAAACCCAAAACAAAGCGAGGTTCAAAATAGAATCCGATGAATTATCAAATGCTTAATATACTGTATAATGTATATTTTACAATATCAAGATGGAAATTCTAAAAATTGATCTGTTTTTTTTTCGAATGTAAACATGTAGTGCAGATTTGAGTGATAATATTTTGAGTGGGCGGCTCATATATCTCATGAATCAATGTTCATTAAAAAAATCAAAATAAAGTTAAAAAACAACGTCGACTAAAATAGTCTACAGTCATGAATATCGATACGGTTATTTTCAGTAAAGAAACGTGGTCAGTCGATAGGTTATCGTCATAAAAATTTCTACGATTATCACTCCAATATGAAATATAGAGCTCACAAAATAAAATTAAATGAAAAAAAACGACTTGATTGGCTGATTGCGTCGAATTTGAGCCAATTGAAAGCGATGTATTATAGGTAATTAAATATTCAAAATGGCAGCTGAGAAGCCTAAAAATTTTTAAAAATAAAGAGGTAATTAAAACTCTCTTTTTTAACACAATATTCTTGAGTTTTGTCGTATTAAACTTCGTTGTAAATATATGTCGAAGACAGCAGAGTGAACAACCAGAATGAATTATTGTTGTTGTTGTCAAGTAATAAAAGTATTTTTGGACTCGTTTTTTTAAGACTTAATTAATAATGAACAGAAAATGAAAATGAAAATGCATAATTTTTACGTACGATTAATTGACAATTGATTAATATGTTGTTGTTCATGGATTAAAGATTTGGCCAGTTTAGTTTGATATTTTAGTTTAGTTTAGTTAATGGACTTAATAGTTTTCAATTTAAAATAAGCAAGATTAAGCCCCAGACCCAGTACTTTTCTCAAAACTTTATATTTAATGTGTAAGTCCGCCGCACACTGCAAAACAATTTGCAGTGCATTATTCCCGTTTGATAAACACATGCTTGGTTTTAAAAAAATTACCCTTTTAATAACTGATTTTGATGCAAATTAATGTAGTGAAATGAAATTGATATTACTTTTTCCAATCTTAAAACTAACATACAAATGTCAAATAATTTGCACGTTTTTCGTTCAAGACGTGTTGTTTAATGGAAATGAAAGCAAGCAGATGTGCCAGGGTGCTGATGTTCTATTAACTCTAACGTGTAGAAAATTGTTTCAGAACAATAATTAAAGATCTGATATCAAATTTTGCAGGCGCAAATGTTTGCTTGTGCATCGCGTGTGTCGTGGATAAAATGTTCTGGCAATCTGGGTCTCAGCAGGTACAATAGCCTCCAATAGACTAATAGATTCCCATTATCGACTAATTTTAAAACTAGGCAAGGAGATGCGAATAAATCACCACAGCTACAAACAGCATACTATAAATGAGTAGAATTGCAAAGTTTGGTTGCGAAATGTTGTAAAATGCGGAAAATATAGCCTTACAAAGTTTGCAAATTTTCTATACTTCTGTATTGCGTGCGGAAATTGCTACCATTTTCGGCCAAAGTCTACCAATTTCCGCACGCAATACAAAAGTGTACAAAATTTGCGAACTTTGCAAGGCTATATTCAGTTTCCGCATGTTACAACATTTCGCAACCAAACTTTGCAATTTTACTCATTTTAGTATGTTTTTTTCTAGCTGTGGTGATTTATTTGCATCTCCTTGCCCAGTTTTAAAATTAGTCTATATAATGGGAATTAATGTCTATTGAACCTGCTGAGACCCAGATTTGCAGAGGGTCTATAGTTACAATTTTACATTGGATAATTTCCATCTACAAGCCCAACAAAATCTCGATATATATTATATATATTTGCTCGTGTAACATATTGCCTTTATCCCACGACTGCACGATCCACGAGGCACGAGCAAAACTCGAATTCAATTACAGAAATACGTAAAACGTATGATGTCCTTATTAAAACTCCGCCCAAATATAAGTCTAAAATTGCTTGGACCTTTTAACCACCTACGCATGCAATAGAATGCTCGCAGCATGCGTTGTCATAATGCAGTAGCTTTGCACTTGTAAACATTGTGATTTGAAGCTTGTTATACTTCGCCGAGGTATATCGATTTCACAAATATTTTCGTCTTAGTTAAGTCATTCAAGAATATGCATTTCCCGAAATATGAGGCATTGCATTTGTAGGAACCGCAACAAGGATAGCGAAAGTGTATGTGGCTTGTGTGTATTATTAACATTTCTTTGTTTGTATAGTGAACAAAGATCCTTTTCACCGCTCGCAAGGAAGTCCGAAGTGTCAGTGAGGGAAATACGTCTGCAATGGACGGAATTTAAACCTGTCGTGTATCAAATCCATTATCCGCTTCATCGTTCGTTTTCATATGTTGAAAAGCTGTTTTGGTATTGAAGATGAATAGCATATGTGTATAATTGGTGTATCAGTCGAGACCGCCTCAGTTCTCAGACTTGAACGATACCGATCGCACGCGAGGAAACGTACTGTGTTACAAGCCTAAACAATTGGTGAGTACTTAATGTTTTTGTGTGGTGAGATTCCTGTGTGTAGGCAGTATCAAACGATATAGTTTTGAAAGGTTTCTGCCAGTGTATGAGGTTCCAATATAGAATGCTTTGGATTGATAAGAATACATTTATCCTGAAAAATACAAGGAGACTTCAGTTCGAATTTCTCCTTGTATTTTAGAATTTCTCCTTGAATTTCTCCTTGTATTGATATTGAACGGTATTCAAAAAGCTTGTTGAAGAATACAACTTAGTATTTGATAAATATAGAAAGCATCCATTGGCATTGCCCAGAGCGGCAGACGATGGTTGATCACTCGAAACCTCCAAGTAATAATATTTAATTAATCAACATAAATACCAGTTTCTGTATATATATACATACATACATTAAAAATCACAACAAAACATTAATAGGTAACAAACTAATAATACTTGCATGATATAGCCTACTTTATAAGTGAGTTTCAAAAAATAACAGAACATCGTATTTGCAACCATATTTAAGTCATATAATTGATTTGTCTTACATATATAGCCATTATATAGGCTCTATTCTTGTTGATTAGATGAAGATCAGAACGAAGAATTTATTTTACAAAGACAATTATAAAAATTAACATTAAGATTGGTGAAATTTGTATTCACTGCAGGAGTTAAGAAATCTCGTTCGTCTCCAATCTCGTTTAGATCACAATGTTTATACTTGCTCTGTCACCATATATATGAAACATATTGTTGTAGGTAATCGACCAGTTTCAATATGAGTGGGCCATAAAAATTTGTCCGTGTTTACTTGCATGACCATACCGTATGCAATGGGGTATCTTTATAGAGAAATGTATTGTTTTGGCGTTTTCCAACGACAAGAATAAGTAAACATAGAGATTAAAGTAGACAGGTGGCCATAACGAGTGTAGAGAATTAGATCTCTTATACGTAAGTGGATATGTTACACCATAAATCATTATTATTATTATATTGCTCTTGATTGCGGGATTACAGCATAAGGTAGTGATTGATAATATATATTCAAGATTATCTGAAAAAAAATAACAAGAATTTCGTGTGGGCTTTATAATCCTGGGTTAACAAAATCTTCAAAGAAATCTTCCCGGCAACCTCGATCGTACCCAGGCTCTTACCTTGCTGGGTACGAGGTTGTTTTCCCGGCAGCTTGTTTATAAACTTGGAAATAGTTTTTCAGAAATCTTGTCTGGATCATCAGAAGTTTAATCTTCTAAAGTTTTGAAATAAACAGACGTGCAGAGTATATACACAAACCAAAGCAATGCGTAAAATTTGTTCAAAGCGCTGATCGTGCTTTGAGAAGTTGAGAACAACCGACACGTGAAGATTAAGCCTGGTTTCCATATGGTCGTAACGGTCGTAAAGATTGAGTCACGATTTTTCTCATCAGCCGAAATACAACATTTTAGAACTGAAAATACGCGGAGTGATTAGAACTATAGAGAATACTTATGATTTACAGGTATAAACTATTATAAACTGGCCGTTGAGAAAGATTGTGACTCTATTTTTACTAGCATTACGTCCATATGGAAACCAGGCTTTTTAGTAATTCATTGTATTTGCCCATGTATATTATTATGTTTGAGATAGTTGTCAGGTGTAGTTGACCTCAAGGCAATAATCAAAGTATACATTAAGGCCACACGATATACAACTCGATTCACCGTTTCGCCTATAGTGCCATTATGATATATTGTAGTAACATGATATATGCGGCGCGAAGATATGATTTTTATCTTCGAGTGGTGAAAACAATATTAGCAAAAAATTGTGAAATTTCACGCTCAAAAGCAAATTGGAAAAAGTCGCTCCTTGATCGATATCTTCACTATTGAAGACCGTAGATGCTTTTGAATGAGTCGTATACGAGTCGTATACGAGGCGTATGGAAATGACTGTGGACGCTATCGAATGCCTCTTCATCTATACTTGACTACTTTCGAATTTCTTTATACGCGTGTTTATTCGATTACAAACGCCAGAATAAGCAGAAATATTTTTAATCTGGAAATAACAAAGGATATTTTCTGAAAGAAGTTATCAAAATGAGAAAAACTGCAAAGTTTGGTTGCGAAATGTTGTAAAATACGGAAAATATAGCCCTGCGAAGTTGGCAAATTTGTATACATTTCTATTACGTGCGGAAATTGGTAACTAATTTAGTTACCAATTCACGCACGTAATACAAAAGTATACAAATTTGCCAACTTTGAAGGGCTATATTTTCCGTATTTTACAACATTTCGCAGACAAACTTTGTAATATTACTAATTCCAAGACGCTCTTTCCAGCTGTGGTGATAGATTTCGTTGTTCTTACTTAGATTAAAATTTAGTCTAAAGCGCAAGTCGTCCATTGATCAAGAAAAAACTGTGCAAATTGCGTGCTTTTACCATAAATAATTTTTCTTTGGGCGTAGTATGACGTCAACACACATATGGAGAATTGAAAGGACGTGTCTCATGATTGAGTACATTTTGACATCTTCTCGCCTTGCCACAGGCTGGGTGAAACTCGTTGACATGATTATTTGTCATTCAGATACTTCAGATGTGCAAAGTTAATGACGGAGTTACTCAAATAGAATGATTCTTATAGATTAGCTTCTCAAATCTCACAATCTTAAAGTTTCAAGGTCAAGAGTGGGCATCTAAATATACGTGCAATTTGGAACGGCAAGGCAAGCCGTGTTATATAACATTAAATTCGATCACAGTAAAAACCCCACGGACCGGTTGTTCAAAGGTGGGTTAGCGCTAACCCTGGGTTAAAATGTAACCTGCTGTTTTAGTTTATACTGTATATTTCTGCACGTCTATTTATTTCAAAACTTCAGAGAATTCAACTCCTACTGATCCAAACAAACTAAACAAGATCACTGAAGAAATATTTTCAAATTTATAAACAAGCTAGCTGTCAGGAAGTTTGCTTTGAATTTTAGGTTAACCTAGGGTTAAACTAACCCAGCTCTGCATGAACAACTGGCCCCACAATATATAGTAAGTGTCTTCCTGTGAACGTATAATTGAACATTAAGTTAGGTCTAATATCCAGGTGATCTCGTGTTCGTATTTTAGCCAATCAGCGCTCAGAAAGGGTTGTCCGAATAGAAATCCATTTTGATGTATTCAGTCAATTATATCTTTCGTTATTCTTTAGGAAACTAGTTGAAATTTTGTAATTATGTTTGGTTATGAGAACTATAGCTCTGACAAAAATATGGGATGGAAATAAAGTATATTACAGGAGATATTCAGTTGTTTTAATCACAAAATGGATTTCTATTTGACAACTAGTGCCAGTACTTTTCCGCGTATCAAGATCACCTGGATGTTATCAACGACGTTGCTGTCGATATTATTGGCATTTTTCCCTTCTTAAACAACAGAAGAGTTGTTTCAAAATGTTTCATAAATCAAACCAAATGATAAATTTAACGACGTAATGTGAAAGTTAAAGTTAATCTTCTGACAACTGATTATCGTGCAATAATCGGCCGATAACCGATTATTTTAAAATCCCCCGATTAATCAGCATTGCTCTAGAACATGATATACTGTCAAGCTTTGTTGCTGAATGTAAGATTTACTAATTTTACAATAAAACTTGAAAGACAACATGAGAAATGCTACATTGTAACATTATGTAAATTAACAAATTTACAGATTACACATCATATACATACATACATTAAATGCAATTGCTACCACAAAAGTGCTTTTGTCGTTAAAAATCGAACAAAGAGCTTCATGAATCATGATTCGATGTTAACACCTGAAACAGGCTTGGCAATTCACAGGCGTGGGATGATGCGCTTCGGATTGAATGAGGAGCGTGGTTCAATATTGATCTCCAAGTTAATGACAGTCTTATATCCAGGCTCTTAGGCCTTTCATTAACCTTGGCAAATATTACGTTAACATGGTGATCACAAGCGTTTCAAGGTGGCCATTGTAATTGATATATTTTTAAATTCATCAGTGTCGTACTATAAGGAGTATCGACTATATACGACTACTGGACCCCAATATTTTGCTAAAGTCCTTGAACGATAGCTGTAAGTTGTTGTAACATATTTTTCCAACAGTAATCAATCGCCCAATTTATTACAATATTAGATACAAAAAGGAATTAAGTATTATCGGATGTTTGAGTTGAAATTTTACTGTCAGTTTATATGCTTAAATACAATTACTTTATGGTTTCCGTGTTTGGATGGCCTGATCCAAACACGCGGGAATGTTGCGAGAGTTAAGAAAAGCGCGCGAAAACACGAGCCGAAGGCGAGTGATTTTGCGCGCTTTTCTTAACTCGAGCAACATTCCCAAGTGTTTGGATCAGGTCATCCTAACAGGGAAACCATAAAGTAATTGTTTTATAAAATAACAACAACACGATAGTCTTCCGTGTTTGGATGGCCTGATCCAAACACGGGTTTCGACCAATCAGAGCACGCGTTATATACATGTTATTTTATAAAATCTAATTCTGCATTCATACTGATTATTAGTGCCAATATTGGATATTTTCGAACGAAAAAGGAAAAACACCCCGAATTAAACAGGTGAATAGTTAAGCTTATTTTTTATCCACTCAAACATTTGGAAATTTGAAAAAGTCGAAATTTTACAAATATCACGCGTACATCGGATCTATACAAATAAAGGAATGCTATTGGCTACGTTAATTGTGACGTATTCCGCGCGTCTGTCCTCTGGTAGATCATGGCTCTCAACCAATGAAAGAGCTTGAATTCTTAACTTATAGCCACTGATAGAACTGTCATTAAATAATCTTTATGCTGGCATATTTTGTTGGCTTCTGTGTGAAGCAAAGAAGGAAGGGTTCACCTAAGAGATTATCTTTTCTAATATAGGCAATCCCAGCTATAGACTAAATTTTGATCTAGGCAAGAAGAACAAAATCCATCACCACAGCTAGAAAGAGCATGTTGAAATTCGTAAAATTGCAAAGTTTGGTTGCGAAATGTTGTAAACTGAGGAAAATATAGCCCTGTGAAGTTTGCAAATTTTGTATAGATTTATATTACGCGCGGTAAAAATAACCATTTTTGAGCCGAAAGTGGTTATTTTTACCGCGCGTAATATGCGAATATATACAAAATTTGCGAACTTCACAGGGCTATATTTTCTTCATTTTACAACATTTCGCAACCAAACTTTGCAGTTTTACTAATTTTAACATGCTCTTTCTAGCTGTGGTGATGGATTTTGTTCTTCTTGCCTAGATCAAAATTTAGTCTATAGTCCGAGGGAAAACTGGCTGTTTTTTGAGCAATTTTTGCATCTTCAAATGATGATTGAAGAGTTGAATATTTTGATAATTATGTATAATCTAATTCTTCCACTCTCAGCTACATCTCTTGGTTCGACTGTAATTTATTTTTGTGCTAATTCTGTGTCTAAACATGCTTTTAAATTCAGGGAAAGACTGTTTGTCAACAGTGGCGTCGCCAGCCCGACAATTCAGTCTCGCTATGCAATTATTATCATCATTCATTTCTCTAGAAATTGATTGTTTTCACAGTCAATGAACACGAAAATATTTGCATAGCGGGACCAAATCGTCGGGCTGGCTAAGTTACTGTTTGTCAACCTGTCTGAATTAACGTTAGTAGAACACTGATTGATAGTATCATAGTACAGTCTCAGTCTATAGTTTAGTTGGATCACGTAGATCATGTGATCTGGCTTTGAGCGGGATTATGTAAAAGGACTTGTTGTTTTTGAACGCTTGGACATGCAAATTGTACTCTTTCATCATATCCAAATTCTATCATTTCACACAACCATAAGTTTTTGCGCCCGGCCGAACGTGTGAGCTAGGGTTTCCCTCAAATTTTCAAGTTGCAAATCTTCAATATAACAGCTGTTCACAGTCGTGCCAATAGAAGTGTTCCGAAAAATGTTGACCAGTTCATTTCCTAACTTCAAGGAGTTCCTCAAGTTCCTAACTTCCTGTTTCATTGACCAATCAGATTGCTCAAAAATAAAATATAAAATTTGATTGGTCAATGAAACAGGGAGTTGGGAACTTTTTAAAGAAATTTTCAAAATTTTAAGGAATTGTTAGGAAATGAACTGGTCAACATTTTTCGGAACGCTTCTATTGGCACGACTGTAATATTTTCTGAAAAAGCGGTGCATATTCGCACGCTCGACTGTTCTTTTTCCGTCCATGCAAATGTATGGCCTACTCTAAAATGCTTTCTTGGTTATAAAATAATTGTTGCAGCTTTGTTGAACAGCTGAACCCCTCTTACCAGCTAGTGTCTGCAGGCTTATATATACTAGTAAAAATAGAAAGAAAACTATTTCTGCACTGGGTTGATGTAGTGATACGTCACACCAAAAAAGAAGGAATTAGACATTGAAAGTAAAGATGAGGAAGACTCAGATGCAATGACGTGCGATGAGAAGCACCATCTCTCGTTAGACATCCATAAATTACCAGGTGATAATGATGATGTAGTGATGTCACCCTTTGGGTTCTTTGGGTTAGGATTGGGGTCAAGGTTACCTTCGAAGCTCAGGATGTTACCAAAGTCGCCAAGTCGCCGAAAGCATGAAAAAAATTGTATTGTGTTCACACCTGCACCACACCTACCTATCTTTGCATGATCTTTCCAGTTCTTAAGCCTGTTTTAAATGTCGCATTTTACATGCGCCGAATGCATTCAAAACAATGAATAATTTTTTTAAAAAATTTTTCCCCCCACTAGAAACCCTAACAGGCTTTTTAATTTAGTCCCCTAGTTATAATGAGGCATTTCAGCTGATTATCTATTGTTTTGAATGCATTCGGCACATGTAAAATGCGAAGTTTAGAACAGGCCTTAGTCGCAATTACTATGCAAATTTTGACTGGCTGTTTCAGATTAGAATTGTAAATATATAAAAAAATAAGTTGGCATTAACACATTGACAGTGCAAATGTTTGAAGCATCGACACACTTCAGTGACATCAATAATACAACAATTGAACTCAGAATATGCTCCCCCCAGGAAACATAATATTTATCCTAAATGTAGGGGAGGCTTTAGGGTAATTGGTTCCAGTTGGAGCGAGCCTAGGGTGGCATGTAGGGCTTATATGCCAAGGTTTATTTACAGTAGAGGTTCGAAAATTGCAAATAAAACTTTGGGGGCAGAAATACAAGTGTACAGGTGCACTTCAACATTGAACTTGAAAATATTTAAAATATTACTTTCTGCATGTAATGGCTGCTGACATGAGCCAACATTCTTTTAATAGTTGATTGTAAATTGTAAAATACTGTAAATCAGCTTATTGCCCAAAAATGTGTGCTATTTTAGTATGCATTTCCATCCACAGTAAACCAATATGATCTCCGTAATACTCTTAATTAATAATTTACACAAAATATCATGCATATATCAATAAGTGAAAAATGACCTCCATATATAATCACAGATCGCCTACTAAAATAATATAAAATATGCTTCCTGAAGGGACATTTTTGCAGCGGGAATTTGCGCACTTTTTGCAGTAAAACGGAGATATTTTAATAACATTTGATTTGATGTAATCCTCTCCGAAATGTTAAGTACCTTTCAGGATAATGTAAATACGTGCTTTGAGAAATTCACGATGCGACCGCGATAAAAAACAAGAAGTTTTTAGCAAAAAGTTGCAAATTTTCCTACAAAAAGTATCATTTTCACTTAATTGCTACATTGGGTGTAGCATTTCATCAATTAGAATATTGTAATGTAACAATTTTGTAAACATACGCGGATATACACCGTTCGATCGATTGTTTTGCAATCAAATTGAATATGCAAAGATATTTTGACGGGCATATCATGTCCGTATCATATGATCGCACTATCAGGAAGATGGTTTTCTAACATAAGAGAACGGTTTGATTACTTTTTAATGGCCCTGTGTGCTATAACCGAATCGATTGCTATCTGCCTTGAGCAGGGGGCTATATACTAAAACATCAAAAACATAGAGCAATATTCCGCACTGTTCGTATTTTCGGTTGATGTATGCGAAATTATCGCAAACACGTATAATATACAGCCGGCTTTTAATCAAATTTAATCAAATAGATCGGTATATCTCTGCCCCAATAAACGTTTCTTGTCAAATATAAAATATATTTTAGCAATATACTGCATAGTTTTCCAAATGTTTTTCGGTATACGACCACACAATTGTACGTGATGTTTATTTGGCGGAAGTCAAAACTGCTTGTCAAAATTGGGCTTTAAATTGTGTAAATTCGAACAACATAATGGGACTCGACGCGCTTCGGTCTTCGTTATCGCATTATATCTATACAAATACTCATTTCCTTTATACGGGATCGTGTGTTAATTTACAGCAAAAAAGCGTCAAGATCACAGCATGAAATTGCGCCAAAATATTTGTCAGATGCTGTACAAATACATCGTAGACAAATGCAAAGCACAAAAGTTATTGTGCATATAAAATACACAATATTTTTCCAACTGTATATTATTTTGAACCAAAATTTGATGCATCTTCGGCAGTAAATTACAAAGATGGACCGTGTATTATGTTTCTGAATATTACATTTAGATTTGTTGAACCGATCAGCCGGCAATTTGGTTTCTAGACGAGAACACGTCGCCTGCCCTTATTACATGAATTGAAAATTAATTAAACCCTAAGCTTACTTTTTGCTTTTTCTGGTTTCTTTGTCGACGGGCTCCATCGTAAAGCGCCAAGATCTTGATCAAGGTAGAAAAACCGAAGATACTGCCTTGATGTCGATCTGACTTTATGTAATTCGCTTCCACCTTGCATAAATAGCAGACAGTCAGCAGCTAGGAAATAAAAACAAATAAGTTGGGCTTCCAAAAATACTGGTAAAAAACAATCAAAACCCAATATCAACTAAGTGTACTTCAGGCTAGAAAGCAGCCTATATTTCGTACCGTTTGTGACCTTTTTTTCGCCAGGAATCGAGCTGAACGATACAGATTTTGCGACAGGACGATCATTAGATTTTTTCAATATACTCGATCGTCTGGGTCTCAAGTCCCTGAAGGCTTCGCTTCGACTTCCTTGTTCGTGCGTTTGAACTATGATTTCGTCTATAGCATTATTTTCAGCCGCTTCATCGGTCTGTTCTGAGTCTTCCATAGCAGTTTTTCAGAGCAGAAAAATATCCGAATTCATCTAAAATTAAGAAGTCTGGTCAGAAAAGGTCAGACTTGAATCCTGACCATCTTGACTGAAAAGACCGCCAGGCGACAACATTGTGTTTCCACTTGGAAACCAATTAATTACCTTTCTTCTTCTTCTAAATCTTCTTCTTGTACGTCATCAATCTCGTTCCCCGAGCATGCCCGTTCGCAGGTTAAGGGTGGGCATGGCTCTGGAGAAATCGAATTGTTCACGTTGAATTTCCAACGTGAGTTCTACGCATGCTCGCCAATGTTGCAAAATATAAATAAAGTATTTAGAATTTCGCGTCGAAAATTTGATACATTTTACGCTGAAATCGAATTGAAAACAACTAAAAATTCTGGGGGAAATATGTACGAAAGCTTCGGTTGGATAGGGATACAACTACCTGAAAAATACAAGGAGAACTTCGACGTTTCGAGCGAAGGTAACCTGAGTATCAGGCTCTATTTTACAAATAGAGCCTGACACAAAACTTAACCTGATCGCTTTCCGCCCACATCAAAGTTTATATTTAGTATCCAATCAAAATGTCGCAGGAGAAATTTAAATTTCACACAACGACAATAACAATCTAATTATAGCATAGGCGCCCACTAAAC